AAATCAATACAATTTTGATCAATTTTTAGTTTTAACCAAGGTTATAGAAATATATTTATATGCAAATTCAAACATCCAAACATTTGAAAGAATCTCCAGCAGTTCAATCCAACATAAATTCAACCAATTTAAGTTCCATTTGAGCAAGACTTTACTCATTGACTGCAGATTCAATCGTTTTTTTAGCAGTCTTCAATTATTTGCAGACAATTTAGTTTGTTTCCAGTCATTGTGCTACAATTAAAGAGGGGAAAACATCTAAAAAGGTAGAATACAAGTAGGGCATTTGGCTTGCATACATCAAGAATCAGTAAATTCCATCATTTATACACAAGCACATTTACAACTACCTTTGAATCTGCTTCAATCTCTATTTAAGAAATTATGAACAGCCTGCTCTTATTGAAAGACTGACACCAGCTCATAAAGTCTCAATTTTCTCCAGAAGCATAATTCCACAAGCTTCTAACATTTGCAATGCTGCAACAGACAGGAATAAAATAATGATCATTTTTTTTTTTGGAATTATTTTTTGCTTAGTAAAACATATTAATAATGTCGAAGGGCTTCAAATCGTCGACAAAAACTTACCGGGCACATAAACCTCAGGTTCAGTTGGTCTGATCAAACCTTTGGTTTGAATCTTGTTCTGGAGCAAAAGCTGGAAAATAATGAGTAAAATAATTAGTCAGAATGACCGTTTAGTCCCCATAGTAATAAAATTATGTCCAGATATGGAGAGTTTTACCAGAGCTCCAATGGCTGCTGGAACACCAACCGTGCGAGCCATTGCTGTGGTTGTTTTTCCATTTTCAGTCGTACCGAATTCCAGAAGAGTGGCCTTGTGGTTCTCCGTTGGTCTGCCATCGGGATACTCTACTTGGATCTCATGGTGTAAAAGCACCATGTCCTGATGGATCAATCAAGAACGACAGATAAAAGCTAAGGCTAAAGATTGGCAGAATATAGTATTGCAGAGAAAAAAACAGAAATAAAGTGAAAGTTTTATTTATGACGCTGTGATTTGCAGTATGAGACAGGATGGGGTTTTAATTTCCAATTTTCGTGATCATTTAGTTCTTATCTAAGGAAAGAAGATTTTCCTTGTCCATCTAAGCAATCTGATTCAGAAAAATAAAATAGGTTTGGTGCGTTTTAAATTACCAAATATTCCAAAAGGATTTAGAGTTAATCACCTGCTCTTGGCTAGAATAGCTTAATCGCTCTTGCATCCGTAAACAAGTTACGTCAAATGCACTGGAACATGCTTTAGGGATTTCTTCACAATCATGGAGTCCCAAAAACCTGAATCAGAGTTAAAAAGCAATAACATGAGCATTTTAAATTCAAAAGTTTGCATAAAATTACTAGTTTTGCGGTTAATCATCATATGATGGATTTGTTAAAGAGAAAAGTATCTTTCCCAAGTATTTTGGGATCAGCATTAAGTGTTTCCACGAAACCTGATAGTTTTGGCGGTCTTCGTTGCTGTGGCAGCTTCTCTGCAGCATCCAAACATCATCACTCTTTTAACAATTTCATGCTCATCTAATGGGACCTGCAGCTTGCCAGAGTCCAAAAAATATGCACTTTTGTTGTTCAGAAGTTCATTTAGAAAGGCACCAAAAGTTGGTCTATGTACTCCTTCCAACTTTGGATGAACAGTACTATCGAAAAAACCAAGTTTTCCGAGACAAGCCATTATTTCACTAAATCCTGAAATGAAAGAAAAAAGATTAAGTTGCAACATGAGAAAGATTTCCAACATATTTGTATATGTTTATTGATTCATTAAGCTCATGACTTTGAAAAAGAAAACGGTCTTATCTAAATACAGTTCTCTAAATTATCCACCTAAGTGTGATATGAGCCTTCTTTTAGAAATGTATAAAGAATAGTTGAAAAACAATTAACTAGGCAATTTTAGCTTGCCCAAGCTCCAAGAGGCGATGGGAGGGGGAGAGAGAGAGAGAGGGCAGCGGAGGAACTTTAAATTCATCCCATACCTAATTCCTCAATAAAAGTATTTATAGAAACCAAGAACCACTAATACAATACTACCAACTTCAAACAAATTAACTACATTTATTAACTTAATAGAAGACCTAAACATTTAACATTTTCATCATCCTATCAGTTTCCCACTGATTCCACTTGCCTGGAATCTTTTAAGCAGTTGTACCTGCACTTAAAAGGCCTGATTCACTTGGGAGAGATCACATTTGCTATGACATGCAGCATACTATCCGCATGAAGATGCAAAATAACATGAGTGCACTTCCACGGCAAAGGGATCAATGAAGAGGAAAGTTAACAACAAACTACAAAATGACAACAAGCCTCCTCTTAACTAACCACTCTAGCTGATCTTAATGCTTTTGTCACAAAGTTCATTTATTGATATGTGATTCATCATAATTTTCATTATTTACCAATGGGGAATAACTGGAGTTGCAAAGGGCACAAATTTGAGAAAGGTGCAGTAGCTTAACCTCAACAATGTATGAGGTCAGTAAATTAGACCAAATGCATCTAAATAATAACATTATTTCCCCAAGAATATAAAAATAAAAAATCAATCCTAACGTCATTTGCACGATGAAGGAGATAGCAACGGGGAGGGAGATAAATTCAAGAAAATAGAAAAAACCTTCATATCGGAGAGTAGCTCTAAAGATTGTTGAAGCTTCAGCACTGATTCCATATAAATCTCCATACACTAATGAATCACGATTTGGGAGATATTCCAAAGCAAAAGCTGGGAGATCTGGGATGCGGAAGCTAACTGCTGAGTCGTATAGATCGTTTCCTGCATTAAATTAGTAGAAACAGAATTAGCATAAATATCTGAAACCAGTCGCAAGCATATGCCCTAGTCATTAAGATGATGAGAAGATGCACAAACATAACAATTAAACATCTACTGCAAGAATAAGATCCTAGTTCAACGTGTGTGGTTCAGTGCTTGGTATTGCCTTATGTCTCTAGCCTTAGCTTTCCCTAGGATAAGCTCATCTGATGCTGTGAAACATATGCCTATGCAGAGATTTATTGAAACAAAATTTTAAAATCTTCTTTTTAAAATGTCTGGCAATAAATGATATGTAAATGTTCCACATGCAATCAAGGAGAAGTTTGCGGATAAATACAAATGCCGCACTTATTGGAGCTACAGTTGCACGCTTATTTTCTAAGGATTTACATAAATACCAAAAAATTCTTATATATTTTCATATCTAACTCCTAAACTTTAATATTTATTTACTTGAAACTATCACATTCACATCAATATATATATGCCGCACTCATATGATGCTCGCTCGCAAATCGATCCTCACCCGTAGCGGCTCGCTCGCCGCTCGATCCTCACCTGTAGCGGCTCTCGTAACAAATCTCGCCTTTTCTGGTTCCCCTCCTTCGTACGCTCGACAGCCCTAACAGCGGCTCGCTGCTACGGCTCTTCTCCTTTCTACAGAGCCACAAAACTCCTCTCTGCTCTCCTGTTTCTAGCAGTTCGTTGCAGTGTTTCTCTTTGCTGGTGATGGAGCTTACTTCTTCTTCGATTGCAAGAGAGTTCCTTCACTTCCGGGCTGAAAGAAGCG